CAAAAAAAAAAAAAAAAAAAAAAAAAGATTTTCTGATGGCTAGTATCTAAATTAAAAGCAAAAATGTGCATCTGCATCTGCACTTCTTTCTTAATCATTACAAGAATATTTTTCAGAACGCAGCGTTAAATGTGTCATTTGAGTACTTATAGAAGTAAAAAAGGCTAATATAGTGTGGTCCAAACAGCAATCGCTCAAGGAGCCCCTACCTCGTGGGAAGGTGGTCAGACGCTTGTTTGAATTTGAATTTCAGGGAAGCCAGTTTCAAAAAGTCACTTCCATTTTACACAATTTTGTCAGCCTTGCTGTGTTCTCATGCCATCAAAGGTTATTACCATACATAATTACGAAACATTATTACCTTTTACAGGTAGGAAGTTGGATGCATTTCAGTTGCTTCACTCAGCCACTGTTGATTCATGTAATCTTCTGACATTCAAGTTTAAACACATTGCTTCCATAAACAGGAGCAATGCTTTCCATGTGGGATCCTTTGTATTCTTATATAATGCTCACTCTTAAAGACCAAACCGATTTCTGAAGATCGTCATTTGTTCTTTCCATAATGAAAGTTTCCCCTTCTGACATGCTTTTTTCTTTAGCTGACCCAATGGGTGCTACTGATGACTCAGTAGGTTTAAGTTCTGTATTTCTATATTCAAATAATTTTTGTAATCACCATCATTACCTTTCCCTTTTTAATTTCAATATTAATTTTTATTTCATTATTTTTTACCTACCTTGCTTTGTCTAGAAAAGACTTATGATGGCTAGTTTAAGGAAAATGTTCCTTTTTCATGTCATTTGTTCAGTGAAGTTCGCTACCTTCTGTAAGTTTCTAACCTTATTTATTTGCCCAGGGCCTTGAATCTCATCTTCAGCAGGAACCAAAATCCGGGAGGCTATGGTTGTGGGGCAAAGATAAGGCAGGATAGGGAGGACCCAAAGCAACACATGTGATTCCTGTTATGCTTAGAGTTTTTTTTTTTTTTTTTTTTTTTCCTTTTGAGACGTCTTGCTCTGTTGCCCAGACTGAAGTGCAGTAGTGTGATCTCGGCTCACTGCAACCTCTACCTCCTGGGTTCAAGCGATTCTCATGCCTCAGCTTCCTGAGTAGCTGGGATTACAGGCGTGTGCCACCACACCCTGCTAATTTTTGTATTTTTAATAGAGACAGGGTTTTACCGTATCGGTCAGGCTGGTCTCAAACTCCTGACCTCAAGTGATCCACCAATCTTGGCCTCACAAATTGCTGGATTACAGGCATGAGCCAACATACCCAGCCATGCTTAGTGTTAATTTTCTGCTCGTATTCATACTTTTTTCTTTTTAATTTTAAAAATGTTAGTACAGTTCAAATCAGTGTGTCTGGTTCATTTCAGCACCTTACTGCCAAAGCCCCAGAGGCAGAGACTCCTTCATTTTCTCTGCCTTGTCTTTGTGATAAGCGAGGTATCTGCTGCATTAAACTTTAAATTTCACATTATTCTTTTTTCCCTTGATTTTGACAGATTTGGCGTCCTTTTGCCCAGCCGTGAGCAGAAAGTTCTTGATTTCCTTGATTTTTTGAGGTATGGTGAGCGGTGTCCATGAAGAGCGTGTGGATAGGCACGGTCAGTTTGAGAAACGGGGAGGATGGAAGACCTCTTTATACTCACTCCTACCAAAGCCCTTGGCCAAATGATGCGGGCTCTCATTCTCTTCCGGGGCAGGACAGGGTCATCTGATGTCCTCATGTCCTTGTCTGCTCTAACTCAAACATTAATCTGAATTCCTCTCAGGAATACGTGAGTGAGACACTAGATGGTATTTTGTTGCACTCATTCCGTGTCCTTTCTAGGCTGGTTAAAGCACCCCAAATTCGAGCCCCCTCTGCTATGTCATTAACCATCACTGGGCCCAGGACAGTCCTTATTTGGCATCAAGTTTAGTTTCTGTCCTCTGAGCTCTGAGCTCTGAGGTCCCTGGGAAGGTGGTGTATTGCATTCTCTTGTTCCCTGACACACCACCTGGGGTGCTTCTCTTGCTTACCTCCCCCAAGCTCTACCTCCTGCGCTCAGGATGGCATTCTCTCTAAGCTACTCCTTGTATTCCTGCATCTGGAGGACTGTGTCCCCTAGACCCTATTCTCTCATGAAACCTAACTGCTAGTGTCTAAACCAAAAGCAAAAATACTGAAAGAGTAGTCAAACAACTGCTTGGATCTGAATTTCAGGGGAGCCAGACCTTTTGATCTCTTCCATTAGTGACTCAGGGCCTCATTAACGAACTCTTTGACCTCCATTTAATTATGAAGGGAACTGAGTATTCTTGGGGCAGCATCTTGTAGAATTTAAAAGCACAGGCTTCAGCAGCCCAGAGGCCTGGATTAAAATGTGGGCTCTGCCCTCTACTAGATGGATGACCTTGAGGGCGTTACTTCATGTCTTTAAACTTATTTCTTCAACTGTGAAGTGGGCATGGCCATGCTGATATTCTAGGATGGTTATACTGATTAAATGAGAAAACACATGTTGAACAGCTATGATGGATCAGGCACTGTCCTAGGCATGGTGTGCCACAGTGACCAGGTGGAGGCCATGCCTGGCATCCCGCTGCTTGGACACTGAGTTGAAGGGTACAGTGTCACATACCAGTTTTGGTAGAGTGTAAACATTCTGCAGAAAGTGATGTTGGCCAGGTGTGGTGGCTCACACCTATAATCCCAACATTTTAGGAGGCCAAGGTAGGCGATCTCTTGAGCCCGGGAGTTCAGGACTAGCCTTGGCAACATGTGGAACCTAGTCTCTACTAAAAAAAAAGTTAGCCAGGTGTGTTGGTGAGTGCCTGTAGTCCAGCTACTTGGGAGGCTGAGGTGAAAGGATTGCCTCAGCCCAGGAGGTGGAGGTTGCAGTGAGCTGAGATTGTGCTGCTGTACTCCAGTCTGGGCTACAGAGAAAGACCTTGTCTCAAAAAGAATGGATGAAGGAAGGAAAAGAAAGAGAAAGAAAGAAAGAAAGAGAGAGAGAGAGAAAGGGAGGGAGGGAGGGAGGAGGAGAAAGAAAGAAAGAGAGAGAGAGAGAGAAAGGAAGGAAGGGAGGGAGGGAGGGAGGAAGGAGAAAGATACAAAGAAAGAAAGAAAGAAAGAAAGAAAGAAAGAAAGAAAGAAAGCAAGCGGAGAGGAAGGAAGGAAGGGAGGGAGGGAGGGAGGGACAGAGAGAGAAAGAAGGAAAGAAAGAAAGAGGGGGGAGGGAGGGAGAGAGAGAAAAAGAAAGAAGGAAGGAAAGAGAGAGAGAGGAAGGGATGGGGGAGGGAATGGGGAAGGAGGGAGAGAAAGAAAGATAGAGAGAGAGAGGGAGGGAGGGAGGGAGAGAGTGCTAAAGAGAGAACTGAAGGATGAGTAGGGGTTAGGTGAGGAAAGTCATCTGAACAGAGGGAACAGCATTTCTAGTGTGTCCCAGATCAGGGGAGACTGGCAAGGTAAACCTTAGCAGAGACCATCAAAGGCCACATAAACCACTGCTGGGAAACCAGGTAGGAGGCCATTAGGAGGCATCTTAATTCAAATGCAATATCTTGGTGCCATATATGCAGATCAAAGCAATGAGGATATGGAGCAGTCAGTGGATTTGAGAGAGAGTTAGGAGGTAGAGTTGATGCGATTTGATAGGTGTGGTGAGTTCAGTCAGCATGGATTCAGCAAGCATCTGTTGATTATATTAGGTTGGTGCAAAAATTGCAGTTTTTACATTTAATGGCAAAACCACAACTACTTTTGCATCAACCTAATGGCATTGTGCCTTGCAGGACCTTAACTGATTTATTTCCTTACTAACCCCTGGGTCAAATGTCCAGGATTTCTCATTTGACCTGTCCATGCCCAATCATCCCTAGTGGCCAGGTTGTAGGCTGGGGGTGGCCTTGGGCCATTCCTGTTCTAGAAAAGCCAGGACATTGAAAATAACTGTCAACACTTGAGGATTTGGGAGTTGTCACTCAGTTAGTGGATTCTCTCTGTCTTTGGATTCTTCTCTGTCTCTGAAAGCCTGCTTTGTCATCAGCCTGGTGGCCTAAAGAAAGGTTCAGAGAGGAACAGTTACTGACATAGCCACTGCCATGAAGGCAGTTGGATCCACTGAGCCAATGGTAGAAAACAGCCCAAACCATAATTCAAATGTATTCTGTCCTTCAGAGAGCATTTTCATTTTTTTCTTTTCTTTTTTTTTTTTTGAGAAATAGGAGTGTCTCTCTGTTGCCCAGGCTGGAGTGCAATGGTGTGATCTCAGCTCACTGCAACCTCCGCTTCCTGGGTTCAAGAGATTCTCCTGTCTCAGCCTTTTAAGTAGCTGGGATTACAGATGTGTGCCACCATGCCGGCTAATTTTTGTTTTTTTTAGTAGAGATGGGGTTTCGCCATGTTGGCCAGACTGGTTTCGAACTCCTGACGTCAGGTGATCCGCCTACCTCGGCCTCCCAAAGTGCTGGGATTACAGGTATGAGCTACGGAGCCTGGCCCCAGAGAGGCTTTTCTAATCATACTTTTATACTAACGTCTGTTTAAAATCCCTGATTCCATGTCGACAAATGTCAAATAGAGGCAGTGAGAAGAGTGAGCAATGGCAGGGAGAACAGCCTAGAATTTAAGGTGTTGCATGGACAGGGAACTGCTGTGTTCTCTAAGGAGCAGAACTTCCCTTCACAGTGTTGAGGAATGACAAGTATTCCAAAAAATAAATTTTATTTGTTTATTGTAATTTTATTTTTTGACACAAGGTCCTGACTATGCCACCCAGGTTGGTCTCAAACTCCTGGCCACTAGAGGACCTCCCACTTCAGCCTCCCAAGTAGCTGGGACTACAGGCATAAGCCACCATGCCCAGCCAACTTTGAGTTATTTTGAAGTTACTTTTTGATTGTCAAACATACCATTCTGAAACAGGGCCAGGTGGGTCAATATCTGAATAAGTTTTATATCAACTGGAGCAAAAGTAGCCGGCATTTATTAAAGCCTTTTTACGTGCGAGACCCCATACCAGGCAGGGAGCTTGATCTCATTTATTCTACACAATGATGCTATTGGGGAAATAGGACAATTATTCCTGTTTTGCAGATAAGGAAGTTTAGATTCAGGGAGTTGACTTAATTTGCTCAGTGTCCACAGCCAGTCCATGGTGGAGAAAGCCAGCAGAAAAGCGCTACAATGACGACCTTTGGGGTAGAATCGAAGTTAACAGCAAAGCAGTTTAATATTTGTGGAAAATTTTGTTTTCAGTAACAGGAAATAATGCTGATTAGGTGTGTTGTATAAATAGTAGTAACCCCATTGTGGCCTCTTGTGTTGGACGTCGTCACAGGGAGAAGTGTCTGTCCGGTTTGACGTCTGAGGACCCCTCCAGTACCTACAGCCCCTCCTTGGGAATCGCGGTGCCCGCAGCGCCTAGCAGCCGTCATGAATGAGCGGCGCCCGGAGCATAGCCAGCCAGGCCTCTGCTGGGACTTCACCTCCAGGAGTGCACGGGCTCTACTCGCTCTCCCTAATGAGAGCAGTTGTGGAGAAGGGCGCTAAGCAGGTCTGCAGCCGGTAGCCTCCCACTCCAGCGCCCCGAGGAAGTTTCTCTCCCGGGAGCCAGCCCAGCCGGCCGGTTTGGCTCTGGTGGACAAGTCTGAGCTGGACAAACAGCGTAGGAAGCGCCAGATCCTGCTCTGCACAGAGCGATCCTGAGCTCTTTAACCTGTCCCGCCCAAGAGAAGAAAAATCCCCAGCAAACTGGCCTGATAGCCTCACATTGTCAGAAACCCGCTGGAGAGGCTTGGGTTCTTGGCCTGGATGTTTGAAATTCCGTAAGCGGAGCAGTGGTAGAAGCACCTTCCCGTGCACTTCTCCGGCAATGATTTTGCTAGCCTCTGATTTTCACCAGCTCCCACGGTCTGCTAAGCGAGGAGCCTGACCAGTGGAGAGAGATCTGGCCACTCATCCCTCCTCTCTAGGCCTCAGTTTTTGAGCTTGTAAAATGAAGTGTTTCGATTCAGTGAGCCTGTGGTTTTGATTCTGAATTTGTTATGGGTAAAATAAACATGGTAGACAGCATTCCTGGAACAGTGGGAAAAAATTGCTCCTCTC